ATTATAATGCATGAAAAAAATAATGTTTCGAAATACATTCATTAGAATAATTTATACACAAGTACTCCCATACATTATCAATCATTTTCAAAAATAATCATCCCTCTCAAGGGGTAAAATCATCCCCCAAATATACAAAAATTGTAAATAATATAAAAAAAATTATAAAAATTTATTATTATCATACTTGAAGTTTGAATAACTTCTAATTGTCACATCAGGTGGAAAACACCCCCAAAGTAGGGTAAACCACTTGTGTATAAATTATTCTAATGAATGTATTTCGAAACATTATTTTTTTCATGCATTATAATTATTTTATGTACTTTGAACCCGATGGTTGAACTTAGGGGTGGTTTTACCCTCATTTGGGGGTATTTTCCTTCGGATCTAATGATTGTGGGTTATTAAAATTTATACACGAGTACTCCCATACATTATTATCAATCATTTTAAAAAATAATCATCCCTCTCAAGGGGTAAAATCATCCCCCAAATATACAAAAATTGTAAATAATATAAAAAAAAATTTAAAAAATTTATTATTATCATACTTGAAGTTTGAATAACTTCTAATTGTCACATCAGGTGGAAAACACCCCCAAAGTAGGGTAAACCACTTGTGTATAAATTATTCTAATAAATGTATTTCGAAACATTATTTTTTTCATGCATTATAATTATTTTATGTACTTTGAACCCGATGGTTGAACTTAGGGGTGGTTTTACCCTCATTTAGGGGTATTTTCGTTCGGATCTAGTGATTGTGGGTTATTAACGGTTCAATTATCACTTATAAAAGAAAAAGAAAAAAAATTGTAACCTTTAAAATAGTTTTAGCATTTTTAGGCGTTTAGGGGATGATTTCACCCCTTTAGGGATGTTAAGGATTGATTTTGAATCAGGATAAGATCGTAACAAATACGGAATTAGATATTTTCACGATCATAATATTATTTTGATAACAACATAGAAACATTTGAATATTTTTACAATATTTTTAGGATTTTTCCTGTGGCCTCTGTCAAAGTCCCAAATACAGGCGGATTCTCTTTCTTCTTCTCTTCTCTTTATAGACGACGTAACTAAAACTCTAAGCTTCTCTGCCATAATTTCAAAAAAATGACTTAATTTCATACAGGGTGGTAGAATTTTAATGCCGAATTTAGTCAAATTTAAACCATCTTAACTTTTTTTTTAAATGGAACACCCTGTATATTTTTTCGCAACCTGATGAACAATTTTGTTCTCTTCTGGTTTTAAGGTATTTACTGTTTTTCGTGAAGTCAACGGATATCGCAAAATTTCTTGCGAGGATGGCTGTGATTTTTTTAATGGAACTTCAAAACAAGCACCTAATCTGTCACCAGTTTATTGTTGTCAATTTAACACACACAGTGAATGTTTATTTGAGTATCATTATTATTGTTAAGCCTGTGATTTTTGCCCGTTTTTTCACAATTCGCAGAGAATTTAAAAAATCATAAAAATATGTTTTTGGTCGCAAATTACTTGTAAAAAACTGAAATGAGCATAGCTTTTGATATTTTGAAAATTTTAAAAACTACCCCTTCTTGAGGGTTGAAAAAATACCTAAAATTAAGAATTTGAATATTACCAATTGTTATAAAAACTATTAGCATGTGAATTATCTTAACATATTTTTTTTGGAATTTTTATAATTATTTCTGATATTCTCTATTTTCGGGGGTGATTCAACCCACTGAGCGCGCGAAGGGTGGATTTTCTAGTTCAACATGCTTATTTCAGTCATGGGAATAAATCTTTCTTTAGATCAAGAATCGTTCGATAGAAAAATGCACATGCTAATAGTTTTTATATTTATTGACAATATTCAATTCTTCATTTTGGGCGCCTTTTCAACCCCTAAATAGGGGCGATTTTTGAAAATTTTCAAAAAACTAAAAGCTATGTACATCTTAATTTTTTACGACGAGTAGTTTAAGACCAAAAACATATTTTTATCTATTTTCTTTAGTTTAGTTTTAATTAGGCAGTGCTTTTTTATTTTTTTTGAAAAAAATTAAATATATCAAAAACGGTTAACTTTAACATTTATGAAAGTACACCTAAAAATTGACGTAGAATCTAAAAATTGCAATAATATACAGGGTTTTCCATTTAAAACAACGAAGATGACGTCAACTTCCGGTATAACCGGAAGCGTTAGGTGGACGCCATTATTTTAGTTGAAAAGGACATGCCCAAAAACAGTATTGCCCAAATTTTCAAAATTAAAATCGAAATAGTCTCTAAAATATATCAAATGTCTCATGGTACACCCTGTATGTAAGGATTTTATACTCACTGAGCCAGAGAAGTCATGTAGGATTTTTAGAGAAGCTTTATATGCCTTGGACCTAGCTGTGAGATTGAAAATGGCGTCGTAGTGGTACCAAATCACAAAAGCTCGGAGAAAAATATTTTCCAGTATTCTGAAGCATAAAAATGAACCAAATCAGTATAAATTTTTATACAAATTACACTGGAATGTACTTAAAAAGATATGCTTGTTTGCCAGATTTAAAATTGAAGAATTTCTCTTTTTATTTGAGATGAAACTAGTTTTTTTTATTTATTTTGATACAACACATACGAAATTTATTTTGAAACGTATTATTCGATGCTACAAGCGTGCCCATTTTATAAAGTTGCTCTCTTCAGTCCACCTTGACATGAACCATAAAACCTGTTTTTAAATGTTTTATTACACTTGTGATACACAATTTCATCAATTCTTACGTTTAGAGAATAATAAAACAATTACTTGTCGGTAAAAGTACTCTACCTTTGATGGCCTTTGTTATAAATACCACGAAAATTTCAATGACGAGAATTTTAATATTTATTAACGTAAAAAATAAATACAGGGAATAGCAAAAATTGCAGTCCAACTAAGTTTTATTGACAAATCTGCAAAAATTATTTAAATAAGCACTACAAAAATTTATGTGACGTTTGTTTTAATATAATATGTTAAAAAAACATACAGAATTGAAAAAAAATAATTAATTTACACCTACCTGTCAATGCACGTAGAAAGTGACGTATCGGCACTAGTTTGGGTGTTTACTTTCACCCCCATTGCAGTTTCTGAAAAAGGAAGAACAATAGTTAAGCACAGAATACCTCAGGGTCCTCTTCCGGGCCCAGTACTCACCGCAGATGATATCTAACGTGCATTTCGACATAATATCGAATATGTCAAACTCCCCTTCCCCTGCAAACTTCCTCATCTGCTCTACCAAAATCTCGGACTGCTCCGAAAAAATCTCCACGAACCCATCTAGAATTTTTTGGCTGAAAGTCGGCATTATGATTTTCCTGTGCCTCTTCCACTTGTCCACTACGAAATGTGTTTTAGTTAGTACACGGTGTGCCTCATGGAACGCCCCTGAGGGCATTGATAAGGGGATACTTACAGGGGGCTGCGAATAATCCATGACCAATAGCCGCTTCGGAGTATTTGTACCACCTCTCCTTAGCCAAACAATGGGGTAGTAATATTTCATAGTATTTGGGATCGGAGACGGCGTAGAACAATCTAGGACCGAACCAGACACGGAATATGCCCGGATATTGATTGTACATCTTCATAATGTTGGAAAATATGTCTGGAAATACCGGAAAATCATTAGAGTCGTGTATTAACGGCTCTGTAGATATTTCTTTCTCACCGTATGGGCTGCCGATGAAGTGTAGAGCTGATCCCACCAAAGGAAAAGCGAATGGTCCTGGTAGTTTCCTGGAACACTCGTAGAGTTTCCTTCTGCTCCAGAGAAACTGCAAGTACCAAGTCAACAGGGTGCAAGTCAGGGCGACCAGCAGGAGCTCCAAAGCCGTCCAAGTGTGGGAGAAGGAGCTCTCACGTCTTATAAATGTTGAGAATATTTCTCCCATAGCGGCTCTTTATGATTCTAATGTATAATTTTGTTAATATACAATTTATTTGTATATAAAACGTTTAAAAATGTTTTTTGCCTCAAATTCAATTATTTCCTGGTAGACCAGGACGGATCTGTCGAAATATCCCACTTCTGATATGTAAGAGGGGGTTAATTTTTGCTGAAATACCTTCAGTGCAACTCACATGATAAAAGTGTTGATCCCTAGATCTGGGCGAGGTCCGAAACATTTTCAAAATTGCAAAAATGTTAAAAAAATTTAAAAAATACCTATTTTAT